GGCAGGTATTCAACAGTTTGGTTTAAAATAGTTATCCTATTTCTAATATATATACGCTTGACTGCCGCACATTAGGCAACTATTCATATATGTATTTGTGCCACTGCTTAAATCGTACATTGGTTTTCGAAATTAGCTCTCTTCACGCCAGCACATACACAATAAGCCGCAGTGAAGCCGCAGAGCTAGCCACCCAGCTCGAGCTAATATTTTCGTGGTGTGGTTATATCTGAGCGCATATAAAAAATAAAGGCAAGCTGCTGCAGAAATCTAGTGGCTTCAACCTATTGACAGTCACATTCGCATAAAAATCACGTAGTTTGACATTTTTCCTTCTCTTGTGCTTCTTCATTTACTTGTATGTCGCTGTCGTCCATGATGTTGTTTTTTCTCCCTCTTTAGTGGAGGAGTTGGAGGACCAGCACCAGCTGTCACGCAATCAGCCCGAGCGAGAGCATTCCTAGCAAACTGATAACTCAATTTTGGTTAGTGCCCCACCTACACAGTCCCCCCATCACATAACTATGGCAAATGCTGCTAACAAGCGCGTAATAAAAACTGAGTGGGGACCGGTCTAGATGTACATAGTTTAGGGATAGGATAGGGCGGGAGAATGGCAGCGGATATGCATTTAAAATTTGTAATTTTCACACACAAATTTGCTGCTTAAATTCTCGACTGTAAATTATACAACAATTTTGGCCGCAGTCACCAAAGGGGGTGCAGAGGGACTACTCCCTAATCATCGTCAGCCTCATAATTGCGTGCAAAAGTTTGGAAAGCGTCGACAGCAACGATGCGACGTTCCTGATGATGGCGTTGGCAATTGTGTCAATGGTCGATGTGGGCCCAGACTTGACCAAAAAAAAAAGGCGCCACGAGCTCCACTGCTCGTCCGATGGACGCTGTTGAACACGTTCGCGCGGACAAACGCACATACTATATATTCGTGCACCGCAGCTACACCCCACATCTAAAATCTACACCTACAGCCCCCACCCATCACCTCCTCCCCAGCACACAGTCGCACATTTCAGCACTGGGCGCATTACATTGTAAAATTGGTTTTTGTAAATTGTTTGGACACAACATTTATTTCCATTTAAATGCGATTTGGCTTGCTTTTTCGGTGGTTTGTTCGCTCACGGACTACGTTTCGAATCACTGTCGTTCATGCCTACGCAGTAGGACTTGATTCTGCCATTGTTCTTCTTAATGCCAGAAAAAGTATGGTCATTTGATGGCTAAGACAATATGTAAAATGGTAATTTTCCTCGTAATGCTAATTATGTAACGACCTTCTTTGTATGCCATTTAACCCTTTTGTGGAATGCATAGAAATTTCAAATATTTTATATTCCGCAATATTGTAGTCGAAATTTTGTTTGGTGCTATCTAAGCTTCGCCTAATTCTACTGGGCATAGAGGTGGGTGTTGGTGTTGGTGTGGGAGTGTGAGTGGCCAGCACTTGTTCAATTTTAAATGAGCATACAGCTTGGGCTTGGAGCTGCTGCAAAAGCCACTGATGCGCTTTGCATGCCCTCACAAAAACCCACATTGGACAGTTCTTGCTCTCGACCGCTCACTCACTTTTCCTGTGAGGTTTTTAAGTGGTTAGACGAGGTGTTTACAGAGCTTAAACGAATTGTTTAAATAATGTAGAGAGCATAGGCAAGCTGTCTAGATAGATAAGTGCACATATTACAAAATTGCAGTATAATTTTGCAACATTCTCTTACAATTATGTACATACAATTGTGGAGCTACCGACAGTTACAAAATAATATAAATAATTTATAATATAAGTAATAATAATATGCCTGCACAGACTTTCTAGACAGCTAAGCTAAAAAGGCAGATATTTATTATAACTTTATTTTTAAAGTCAAATATTTTAAGGAGGTTTATTTTGTTGATAATTATATGCATGAAATTCAATTTCAATGCGGCTTCAATAACGAACTTGATATTACATTAGTTAACATGTATCAAACTGTCTATAATTTGTCCAAAACTTGTTGTATTTTCAATAAAGAACAATATTTTTCGATTTTGATTCTTCAATGCACCATCAGGACTATTTCTTGCTAAAGTCCACTCGACTTCATATTGTTGGTTTTCGGCTTGTTTTTAAATAACACACTTTTTTCGACTTTGTCCGCTACAACTGTAATAATTTGCAGCTTTTTAATTTTTTTCTAATTGTTCAACCAATTACGCGTTTTGTTTCAGCCATTTTTTAAATTTAATAATTAATATGGATGCACTGGAAGACTAAAAACATGATGGAAACAATAAATGGTAGCACAAAAAATATGTACACATTGCCATGCTCATTAAATATAAAGGGACAAACTAATGTGAAAAAAATGTTTCATAGATGGCGCAGCTACTAGCATAATATTCATGGAAATTGACTAAAAATGACTGCCAATATGGGGCGGTTAAGTGAAAATGCTGTAAACGTAATTATTTTCATACGGAATTAACTCTTAGTGCTGCCTGAAAAATTGTCATGCAGCTAAGCAAATTATAGCGTATTAGATTTAGCCAAACTATTACCTACTACTCGTACCAAGCCCATGTGTAAAAAGTGAAGTGCATTTTATATATTCTCGATGCGAATCTACAAGTATATCATAAAGACTCACTTAAAGGTTTCTGCTAAAGTACACTCCCCTGCCAACCTGGTAATACCCACATTAGCAACATATGTTGGTCTGCTCATGCGTCTGCAAAGTCGTAAAAATTGTAACCTTTTCTCTCTACTTATGCCTGCACCCTTTTAGGTTTAGCTTCACGCCAACCGGACTAATCAGCGGACATATGTTGCAATGCGACGACTGACTTAGGCCTTGGCTGCATTAAATCTAACTTAAATCTCTGCTCACATTCTCTTGACCAACTTTTCAACACTTCTGAAAATGTGTTGCGTAAAAAGGGTTGCAAATAAAAATGCGGCATACACCCAACACTCACTGCCTAGACTAGACCCAAATGTATGTTGCACCTGCACATGGTCCCACAGGCCCCCTCCCCAGCCAGGAACGGCCACAAAGCATATGTCCATTACCAAACATTTTCGACCACAATAAAATGACAAATGCCCGAAAAATCTGTCCATGTAGACAACACACATGCACACGTACACGTACACGCACACGCACACGCACACGCACACGCACACACTTTCCTGGTGCTGATGCCCAACAGGCCTGTGACAAGGCTTGCAACGGTACGTCAAGTGCTGCTGGAATGTGTGGACACTTGCCGGTCTAAGCCCCGTACAACTTGAGCCTAACAAGTGTCGCTTGGCTGTCAGACTGCTTGCCAGCCAGCCTTTTCATGGCCAACAAGCAGCATTTAGTTGGTCGTCACTTTTTACAGCAAGAAGCGACAAATTAACCCTCTAAGTCTATGTATTTGCATTTTGTACTTCAGCTCCTTACACGAGGACTCGGTTAGAAACACAAAAATGAGTTCGTGTTGTGTGTTTTGTTTTGTTTTTAGTTTAAATTGTAAAATAAATAGCAAGGGACTTCAAAACTCAATGGGTTTTGAATACCTACTAAAGTGTCCAAAGAAATAGAAATTGTAAAATACACTTCAATTGTGATAGATTTCATTGATTTAATTGACAATGGAAATTTCTCAACTGAGGCATTGCAGATAAATAATACAATTTGCAGTTTTTTAAATTAAATTCCCAGCTGTTTAAAAATAAAATATTTAGACTATGTATAATCGTTAGTTATGTCCGTAATATGAAAGAGCAAAAATGGGTTATTCTTTTATGAAAGCATAAACCGCAGAAAACGAGGTTTGGGAAACGTTCCTTAGCAAGAAAATTATTTCACTGACAATTGAAATCTCTCAACCAAGGTCCTTCAGGTAAATATTACAATTTGCACTTTTTTAAGTGAAATTCGCAAGCTGTTTTAAAATAAAGTATTTAAAATATTCGAGTATAATCAAAATTTATATCCAACACATGAAAGAACAGCAATGGGTTAAGTCGTTCATGAGAGCAGGAACAACGGAAAACGAGGCTGGGCCGATGACGAGGTTGAGGACGAAAACAAGGCAAAAGCCTATTAAAAATCGTGCTAAATGGCAGTAAAACAATGTGTTGACCAGGACGGCGTACCTAAAGGCGCACAACACCAGCCCAATGGTACGAGTAGCACATCTGTGTTATCGCCCCTCTCTCCTTCTTTCTCTCTTTCGGACCCAACTCCTGTCCATCTATGTATGTACGTATGTCTGAGTACGTGAGTTGTGGTTTTGGGGCTGGGACTCATAAATTCTCTTGTTATTTGGTTGCTCAGCCTCACTTGTTTACTGCACCAGGGTCCTATGTTAATGCGCATTAACAGCTGCATGCACGCGTTTCAAGGATTTTTGATGACGCTCACACACACACATACACACCATGACGCACTCTTCATGGCCCAAGGAAACCAATAAATAAAATTTAATCAGCCTTTGCCTGCCTGCTTGCAGCTCTGGCAATTGAGAGTCCAATAAAATGACGCAGAAGTCAAGAAGTTTTTCCAGTTTGAAAACAATTTAAGTAGATTTGCTGCGAGAACTACAATAACGGCAACAACAACAACAACCCCACAACTATAAAGTACATGACTAAGCTAAGAAGCTTTCACTGCCGCTGCCGTCTGTGGTGTTGTGGCTGTTATTGCAGTGTTCTTAGCCTGTTTATGACATTTTGATGCTATTATAAAAATCGTTCCCGTCAAGTACGAGTATATCAACTTTCCCATGATGCTAGCAATTAGAGATGTGCCAATAATAATTCTAAAGATGAACAAGTGTAGATAAGCACTTTGGGAGAAGAAACGAATTCTATACCAAAGTATTTCTAAACAGTTCTATATATATGTATATATAGCTTCAAAATACGAGCAATATGTAAACGATCTAAAAAGTTTGTGCCGCAGCTATTTACCAGTGCTATGTGCTACAACAAAACGGTAGTCCTCCGATTCCATATTATATAATTTTTTATGGGAAAGAATTTTTTTATTGATGCAAAACTATCAAGTGTCAGTTCAGGAGGGACGAAAAAGAGTATAGCCAGTAGTCCAAGAAGAGAATTCCAGTGACTGCACTGCTAATCCTGGATCTGAGCCTGCTATAGTAGACGTCCTAGCCAAGAATTGCTTAACTCGCAATGAGATGAGCAGCGGATCACTTTGATGGATGCTGCAGTTTGGTGTGGTTTTCGGCTGGATGGCGCGCAAGGTTGTGTTTTGGACCAGGAGTTAGAGTCCTGGTGGGATGAGAGAAAGTACTTCGAGTAGTCATAGAGATGCCATTGCCGACACTCGGAAACGGCATTACTCTGACATCGTGGCTGCTGCTGATGCAGACGCTGCTATTGATCCTTAGGCAGTCGACATTGGAAGTGCTGCCTGTTCTACTTGAAGTGCGAGCCAAGACTTTATGAAATGGAATTGAGATTGAGGTTAATAGATGCCGCAGACAAATGTTGTGGATACTTTTGTCTGAGACTGGGCGCGCTGCTGGATGAGAATGTCAAGATGTGCATGAGCAAAGCCAAATAATCCCTCTTACTGGATCTGTATAGGTGCGTCTCATAATTCCCGATGATTATGATTGAACTCCACTCAATGCAGTCTGGGCTCGGCCTGGAAGGTGTGCACGGTTGGGTTTTAGCTCAGCTCTTCGTCCCGACGGCATAAGGATAAGTACACAGGAGTTCTTGAGCTGTCATTACCGACACTTGGTAATGCTGCTGATGCAGACGCTGTTATGGATTTCTAGGTATGCTAGATCTGCTAGATCTGTTCAAAGTTCGTGTCAAGAGTTGATGCATTTGATATGAGGTCCAAGCAGCGATCATGGCATCTCCTGGATGGTCCTGGTAGAGCTGACGACTCTAGTGTAGTTTTGGGCTGGATGGTGCGCATGGTTGTCTTTTGGCCCAGGTGTTGGTACAGGTGGGACGAGATAGAGTCCACCTATTAGTCCAAGAGACGTCATTGCCGACACTCGGAAATGACATTCCCCGTAACTAAGTGGCTACTGCTGATGCAGACGCTGCTATTGAGACTTGGGCAGTCGACATGGTTTTTTTTTATTATTATTATTTTTTTTTGAACAAATTGTAATGAGGTTGAGCAGCTGATCAAGTTAATGGACGCTGCAGACGAATTTTGTGGATACTTTTGTCTGAGACTGGTCGCGCTGCTGCATGAGAATGAGAATAAGTGGAGAGCTAATCAAACGTATTTGACTCACATTTTTTCGAAATAACGTAATAATTTAGAACACGTTCCGAGTACCAATTTTTTGCGCTGTTTAATTTCGTAGTCGGGTTCCACGTTTCATTTAACTAACAAAAATTTGATGTTCCTTATATTATTTGTATTTTTGATGTGTATGAAGTACGAGTTTTCGAAATGAAATGATTTTATATCGACTATTTGGGATGAGGCTGTCTGACAGATATTTTCGAAGCCTACTTCGATCTATATATAATATATATAGTATGCCTCAATGCAATTAGAGATGGACCAGTGTCATTAAAGCAATCAGTGTTTTAATACACGTACAATTTATTACATACACGTACGTATGTACGCATGTATGGATTTATTTACATTTTTTGAATAAAATGCTATATGTATGGCTTTGGCCAGTTTAAGCACTTATTGGCGTTTTGTTTTGAAATTTAAATTAGCTTCATGTATCGATTTAACGATTTTCTGGTTGTAAAAGGGGCATAGGTATGTATGTGCAGTTGTAGCCCATTTTTATAGCCTCTACCCAAAGGGTGAAAGGCTATACTAGTTTTGTGCGCATGTATGTAACACACAGAAGGAGGCGTGGCAGACCCCACAAAGTATATATTCTTGATCAGGATGACAAGACGAGTCGATATAGCCATGTCCGTCTGTCGGTCTGTCTGTCTGTCTGTATGAGCGCAAGGATCTCAGTAAGTACAAGAGCTAGGATAACCAAAATTGGTATCAAGGTTTCTATAAGCCCTAGGCAGATAGAGTTTGTTTATTTTTTCTTATACACCCCCCACTCCCCCGCAATTCGTGTTTTTTCTTATAACTTCCGTAATTCTCGGAATTTTGAAATCAATTTTGGTAGGTACATCCAGTTACTAATGTGTCCGTGTGCCAAATTTCATCATGATAGGTCAATTCTGAAGAAAGTTATAGCCATAAGTAAAATCGCTGCTCATGCGCTGCCTGCAGCTCTGTCGGCAGCGATGCCCGAAGCTGTTGTTGTTGTTGCTGGTTTGGTTCAACTTTGTGCTGCATACATACACGCATATAAACACGCATAGGTACGTGATGTAAATGTATGCTGTTTAAACTGAACATAAACATGTATTCTAATTTAATTTAATTAATTAATTTTAATTAATTAATTCATTTTTTTTTTAATAATTTAATTTAAAAAAAAAAATTTTTTTTTTAATTTTTCCTTTTTGTGGAGAGTACAGGCTATTTTACTATCGGGCTTGCTCGACTGTAGCGTTCTATCTTGTTAATGTCATTGCTAGAATGCAATAAATACCGAATCATTCAGTCAACTGTATTTATTAATTTCTCGAATAGCCCGGAACTACGCAAATAAGGTTTATTGTTTTGAATTATAGCTTAAAATATAAACATTTCCTTAAATGTGGTTTTCTCTTAAGTTTCGAATGAGCACCACAGTGCATAGCTTCAGACCTAAAGAGCTCTGCACTGCGCCGTCGCTAGCCGCCTACACATTAGTTCTCCGCCGTGCCTTGAGATCGACAACGGCTCACATGCCGTCTGATTTGTTTTTTCGAATAAATTGAAATAAATAAATAAATTTAAATAAAGTGAAAGGTTGTGTAAATTGTGCTCAGAATTACCGAATTACCACAAGTTCTTTTTGTATAATCGTTAAAATATAGTAATGAACAATAGTGCTGTAGAAAAGATGATGTTTGTGGAATCAAAGTTAAAAAGCAAAAGGCATATCTACATACTGTAATTTCTAACTGCGCTTTGTGCAGTTATTCGCATTGCCGCCGCCTCACCGCCGCCTCGCCTCTCTCGCGTTCTTTTTGGCAGCTGATGCAAACTTGACGAAAGATCAGTTCAACGTGGATCCAACAGCTGAGAGTACTCTTCATTTTATTATACTCCGCCACTCTTAAGAGCTTAAAGTTTCGAGAGAGCGTTATGGATGCAAATGCGAGAGCGCGGGTACCGCAAGCCGGTGAACTTTATTATTATTTTATTTTTAACGTATTATTTTATTTATTACACTACATACTTTATATTATTACATCATATATGTTTTCCATATACATATGTATGTCAGGCAACCTAAGTATGTACTATTATTGTCGTTTTAAATAGTGCACAATTGAAATTGAGTAAGAGCTAGGGACACCAAATCTTAGTCCCAGATGCCTTATGTGAATACGCAGAAAATGTGTATTTTGGAATTTCCCTCCCTCTCCCCTCTCCCCCACAATCTGTGAGAGTCCAGACCTCCCGTATTTCTTGGAATTTTTCATTGAAATTCGGAAAATATCTCCAGTTAGTGATTATGAGTCCATTATGCCATATTTAATTTCATAATGATAGGCTGATTGAACAGAAAGTTATAGCCACATTTGTATATATGACCAAGCAGTGCCAGCAGCTGTTGTTGTTGTTGTTACTGCTTTGCACAGGCACACGAGGCATACACAGACACACATAAGCACACACATACATCCATAATTATTCTACACATATGTGCAGAGTATTTCAAAGTCGGCACACCCGACTTTAGCTTCTCTATTCGTTCTTATTGACAACTATTTGCTTTCCGCTGGTATGCATTTTTGTTCTATCAATAAAAGTATTTCAATTTTGCATTCAAAATTGTGACTGTTATCAAGATCGGACACCTGCTGATACTATGTACGTATATATTCAACTCAAATACCTGATCATTGCTGACCACCATGGCCAGCGTTGATTATTTATTGCAAATCGATGTTGAACAACTTCAAGTACGAAAGACTATGGGGCTAACTAAAGTGCCAAATGCTACGTAACACACACATTTGCACGCTCAATTGGATATACACTGCGCACATACAAGTATATATACATTAGGCTCTGGTATAGACATCGGGGTTTGACTTATCTATGGGACAGGCCAGTTGGTACAGGAATTGGATAAGGGTGCGGGTTGGTCGGCCGGTCATGAATCCCTTTGTGAGATAGGGAACTATTCCAAATGTGGTCATCATGCCTGTGCCGCGCGTATCAATGTGGGCCCAGTCTACGCACGGCACCAGCTCATGCAGTATCGCAGCTGCCAAGCAAGAGCTGGCCAGGCCTCGACCATTATTGCTAAGGTCGTAGGCCAGTTCATCTGTTACTTGCTTTTTGTAATACTGCCAAAGAGGCATACGCCACACGCGATCTCCAGTGAGGGATCCTGCTTGTTGTAGTTGTTTCCAAATGTAATGTGAGTTCGAAAAGACGGCCGATGCGCCACCGCCAAAGGCTCTCTGTGTGCCTCTGGCTAAAGAGGCCACATCGACGACTAGACGTGGCTTGTACACTTGTTGGCCATATAACAGGGGATCGGCCATCACCACCACACCCGCCTTGTCCAGGTCCCGTATGGCCATGGATTTGCTATTGATGAGCGTGACGACATCGCCTGGTTTGCAGGACATGCCCGAGGGCATATTTTCACATAGAGGTATCAGAACGGTTACATTAATCGGTAGAGAGAGTGCAGCCACGCCACGCATCATGGCCACCGCCGCAGCCGCGCCAGACATACTGGCACGATACTCGTCCATGTCTTCGCATTCCCGGAGGTTAATGCCGCCTGAATTGAAAGTTATCCCCTTGGCTAAGACCAGCACCGGTTTGTCTTCGGGGGCGGTGCCGCAGTAGGAGATCTCCATGAAAACTGGCGGTTCGCAGGAGCCCTTGGCAATCATCAAAAACGAATGCATTCGCTGCACCTCGATCCAATCCATGGTGCGCACCTCCACGGTGATGCCACAGGGGCAAAGGGCATCGACGGTAGCTTGAGCAAACAGTGTGGGAGTCATGCAATTGGCTGCCGCATCACTCAGTCGTCGGGCCAAGTTCTGGGAATCTGCTTTAAAAATTCCACGCATCCAACCATCTGCATCGGGCGAATCGAACAGCTCTAGTGTCGGAATTGACACACGATTTTTTCCGGTAAGCATATCCGTGAATCGCCAAACGGCAAGTGTGGCACCCTCGGCTGCCTGTTCGGCATAGTCCATGCTATCGACATTGATGTCAAGACAGCCCATGTGCTGAAGGGAACGTGCACCGACCCCGGCAGCTATGCGCACATTCTCCATGCCATTGTCACGCATCTCCAGCTCATCAAAGCCAATGCCCTCCAGTCCCAAGCCAACAACAGCTACGCTCTTATATGAGGGGTCTATGTTGTTGAATACCATTCCGCGCCCCAGGTTTCCCGACACTTGGCACTCGCATATCAGTTCCGCGAGCTTACCAGTGGTACGATCGTTGAATCGCTCTCCGGTTGGTGTTAGGCGTGGCCCTTTGTCGCCCTCCTTCTGGTAGATACCAATCACGAGTCCTTTAAAGCGTCCCACCTGGTCAGCGCAGGAGAAACGTACGCTTCCAACACCTCCCATTCTTAGCACCTGACGTATGTACAGTGGATGGCCAAGGCCACACAAACTACGAATTTTATTCATTCTGTCTAAAGGAGTTCTGTTTTGCACTCGGAGGAATTTGGACACGACTAAATTTGGTTACGACTTAACTAATCGAAATTATATTATTACCATGGACTGATTGATTATTCACGATAGCTACGAAAAACACTTGATACAATTTTGACGAAAACTATGAGAATTTTTAAATTTGTTCTTTCATATAAAGTGGAAAATTTGAATACTAATGCCTACGAAATGAAGTATTTGTGAACGTGTGCTTGATCAAACAATTTTGAACATTACAAGTAGAAACAGAAGAGAACTTAACAGATGTCTACAAATTTGGAAAATCTTTCCTGTGAAAAGTTGCAAAAAAAGACTGCGTGGAAAAATCCATTTCATTTATATGCTCTATTTCTGATCATCATAAATGATCAAACAATTTTGAACATTACAAGTAGAAACAGAAGAGAACTTAACAGATGTCTACAAATTTGGAAAATCTTTCCTGTGAAAAATTGCAAAAAAAGACTGCGTGGAAAAATCCATTTCATTTATATGCTCTATTTCTGATCATCATAAATGAACTTGAGCGTGTTACTCTGTCTGTCTGACACAGTCCAAATGAAATTGTTTACTTATATTTATATGTTAATCAAATTTGATAATTGGTTTTTAAAATGCTTCGCCATATCCTAAAAGTGCAAAGCAATTAATAGGCTTTATCAGGAAGCTGCAATAGGAACGTTCGGGACAATAATCCCCTTTTGTGTGACGGGCTAAAAGGCTCAAATATATAGAGTATACACTTCACTGTGTCTTATAACGAAAGTATACCAATAACTAACTGTGAATACCCTACTAGAAGCAGTATATTATCCTTCATAAGCAGGCATTGCTTATTTCTTTTGCATTAAATTAGTGAATTAGTTGCCTCTTGAGACTATAATTTCTTTTATGTTGATCATAAGAACGGTACAGATGATCAGAGAAGTAAGTAGTTTTAGCTCACTTCTATTTAGAAGGAAAGTCCGTGCAATTGTAGGATGGTGTCGTATCACTTAAGTCATCTCCATAAACGACATAGAGTGCATAGTCATCGTTAAGTCAAAACTAAAGTCATTCGCAATTTCTTGTGCTTTTCAGTGATACTTGTGTCCATATCCTTGGCTTTTTGTTGCCCACCACCCTGCGCTCACGATGCGCATCTTTAAGATACATTTCTATGGCCGTTTGCCTGGCTGCACACAAAACGTCGTCGTTGCCATCTTTGCCGTCGCCGGCATAGCCATTGATGTCGACGTTGTCCTGGTTGTGCCATAAAAGCATATAAATTAAATGCAAGTTGCTGTCGTGCCAAGCGCCGAACACAAACACGGCGAAAGTTTTGCTGCCCTGAATGAAAAATTTTAATTCCGCTTGGCAGACGAACAGTAAGAAAAAAAAAACACAGAAAAAAAAACACACACAACGAGGAAAATCCACGCATGTCGTCCTTTTCAAATGCAATCAAGTGCAAGGCACAGGGGCGTGGCATGCTCGCGCCTTTAACATTTTTCCTTAAAACGTTTCAAGTGTCTGGGTCCGCTAGTCCGCTAGACAGTAGACGTAAAACGCAGACTACTGGCAGGCGCATAGTAATGATACGCAATCGTTTGCATTGCCTTGTGGCGCGCCCAGGTGGAGATCAAGGTAGGAGCGGGGTTGGGATTTTGGTCTTGCGACTGCGGTACGCTAACAACATTGAAAATGCTTGTCGAACTTGAAAATTATTCGATTAAGTGCATTACCGGCGAGACATGGATCGGCAATCAGAAGGATAGAGAGTGAAGCCAAAATGGAGCCCAACGTGGGGCAGAATATACTCGTAGATGTTGTTGGTGTTTTTGTTTTTGTTGTTGTTGTTGTTGCTATGGCGGCGACAACAGACGACAATGTCGTATCTGGGGAGTTGTTATTGTAGTTGCTTGCTTGGCCCGGCTCATCTTATTTATGTTGATTGTGTTGCTGCCTATGCCAATCAATGAAGCACACTTTCGGGCGCTAAGCCTTTGTGGTGTGCCCCAAGGCATACCTTAATTTAATGCAGTGAGGGGGAATTGGAATGGACCTGCTATTGTCATACTCGTATAGCACAATATAGTGTGAGGCTATTGAATCACTCACCGTCTTGTGTTGATCGCTGTTGGCGAAGTGCAGACCATTTGCAGTCTTCTCATTCTCCAATTCGGCTGGCAAAGCGGAACCCAGGAGTCCATGTTGTGCCACCGCTGGATGTTGCACCACATGCTCTAATGTGGTTAATGGCTGCTCATCGCTAATGCCTTCGTAGCCGTGTGAAAGCCCATGACCGGGCGCAAACTTAATGAAGGAGGTGGGCGTTGCCAATTTGGTTTCAGCTGCAGGGGCCGGAGCGGGTGCTGTGGGCGCTGGCAGTACTTGCTTTATATCGTTGTTGCCCGGCTCGATGATGGGCACATATTGCTTAGTCTTCCCCATGCCTATGAGGCGGCCGGGCTGTACGCCTAGCGAGCCGTGCTCCACCAGCGCCTTGAGACTGGGCGTGGGAAGCTGGGGCTGCACGGGTCCGGGATGAAAGAGTATGGGTGATGTGCTGTCTTGCGGTCGGTCCGAGTCCAGAAGCTTGCCCTGTCGCTGCAGTTTTGCTTGCATCTCTTTGGCCAGCAGGTATGTTAGGCCATGTATTTGGTCGTCGGGCGATTTCCCAATGAGCGTGGACAGCTCGCGAAATTCGGGCAGCTCCTTGTAGTGCTCCTTGATGTGATCTGGCGGCGCATGGTACTCAATTTTGATTTGAGGAGCACTACTTGGCTGTGGTTCTGGGTGGATCTCGTACTGGTAGTGCTCAAGCGGCTTGATATGAGCACTGCCGTGGCTGGAATGTACTTGTAGATAGGAGACGGTGGGCTCCACATGTTCCTGCAGCGGATCTGGCTTTGAAGCGCGAAATTGTGGCGCTGCAATGTCAGCGGTGGTTGGAGGTGGGGGAGCTGGTGGTTGCGGTGCCGATAGCTGCGCGCTGTATGTGTGGTGAACCTCTTCGACGGCGGCCAGTTTGGTCGCTGGTGTGTCCTGAACCACAATGGGTTGTGCAATGGTTGGCGAGGCACTGTACAACTTGGCATAGCTCGGCTTGTAGACGTATCGCAGTTGTTCGACCACTGGCACAGGTTGTATGTGCACCTGAACAGGATGCACTGGCTCCGGCAGCTTGGCCGGCACATACTTGACAAAGGCACTGGGCTTGAGATTGTACGAGAGCGGCTTGGACTTGAAGTGCTCGTAGTCGGCTTTCTGGGCAGGCATGTACTTGATGTACGCCTTTCCTCCATGTCCATCCTTAATCAGCTGCGTAATGACCTTCTGCACTTCGTGTGGCAAAGTGCTTATTGACTTTTTCGTCTTCATGTGTGTCTGTGGTGCTTCCTTATAGATGTACATCCGTTTCGTCTCTGCAGTGGCTTCGCCGTCCACCACCAGATTGTCGTCTAGACGTTGTGCCGACGTGCTGGGCGACGTGCTTGTCTGAGCTGACATGGTAGGGAGAGTCCGGTTCAAAGTTTGCGTTTCCATGGTCAGCAGAGTCGGTTTCATTTCCTTGCCACTGCGCTGCATCATTAGCGTTGTTGGAGGTGCTTTAGCGTCTGCTAGTTCAAATTTGAAAAACTCAGGCGCATTGGGCATTGAAGGTGGGGCAGATCTCTTGATGCGTTTGGTTTTACGGATGCGCAGCTTGAAGGGTCGTTGAGAGTGCTCAGAGGCTGAACGGGTAATGCCCAAAGGCGACAGCGATGGTGTAGCCTGATCCGCTTGCTCCTCCTTCTTGGGTGCTGTTTGGCGCTGCACGCGTTGCGATTCTCCCTGCCCATGTGACGGGAGGTCCAAGGCACGAGCTCGTTTTATTAGCTGCGCTGTCTCCGCATCTGGTTCGCGTGCATCCGTCGCCTCGAATGGAATCATTTGAACCTTGAAATTTGCAGGCTGACGCAGAACCTTGGCGGCTTCACGTCGCTGCCGACGAGGTTTCCTCTTCCCCATGGCTGTTGTCCTTCTGATTGTTGGTTGCGTCGTAGTAGTTGTTTTAGCAGCTGTTGTTGCTGCTGGCTGCGCTTTTATCTCTCGACTTGCATGCTGCCGAAGCAGTTGTTTCACCTCCTCGCTGGGCTCCACAGCATCCGATAGCTCAAAGCGCAACATACGAGGCTTGCTCGGGAGTTCTTGCTGCTCGCGTTTTTGCCGCGAATGCGACAACTGCCCAGAAGCTTCCAACTGCGAATTATAGTGATTAAAGGCGTCTAAGTAGCTATCATCCGTTGGATTGTCGATGTGCCGCATGCTGCGGAAATTTCTTTGATCGAAATAGCGCTGCATGTCCTGCAGAGAGAGAGAGAGAGAGAGAGAGAGAGAGAGAGAGAGCAAGAAGAAAATGTTGACATTAGGAAGCTTCTTTATTTATTAATGTTTCCTCTTTAAGTTTTCAAATAAATATAATTTATTATAAGTATTATTGAGCTTGCCTTTTATCAATGAAGAATTTACTTTCTAATTGAAAGCTTACGGCTATTAAAAAACAACAAACAAATACTTGGGCTTGGAAGCATCTTTAGAAAATTGCTTAAGTAATAAAAAGCGGGAACGAAATGTTGGGCTTTTTGTTTTATTTTATTGAATTTTTGATTGCTTGTCAACTTACTTCATAGGTGGAAAATGTTTCGAGTGCTGGTAGCTTTTGCCAAGTCTCTGTACCGCGACAGGGGGTCCAGGCCAGCAGCAGCAGCAACTGAGCGTGAAAAAAAGGAATACAAGTATTGTTAAAAATGTATTGACTTGCTTTACATAAAACGCGCGCTGATTTGCAATCTTAAATATTTATATTAAACAACACGTCCATAAATAAACCAATAGCTGTCCACCTGCATCGCGAACACTTTCACTTTCTTCCAATGCATTGGCAATGGTCCACAAACCGGGCATACTCCGGCCATATTTAGACGGAAACCACTGGCCAGCAACAGCAGCCTTACAGCTGCGGTGGCGCATGCGCCGAGTAATTGCAGGCCTTGTGGTTTTTTGAGGCGTATGCAACGCAGTCTGCGCATTTATGTTGACACATTGGAGATTACTTTCGCCTGAATGCGCAGCGGGCGACTTGAACTTGTCTCGTGACTTTTCGTATATGGTCATTAAACTTGGCTAGTTTGTTGGTCAGTCTGTACAGCAGTCTTTATCTTAACTGGTTTGCTGCTGTAATAATTTTTAAAATTTTGTAACCTTGTCGCAAGCAGATCGTTAATTGGATTTATTTGCTAAACTGCATAACTTACTATTATTTCTCAGAACTATGTATAAATATTTGCTTAATTGGAAAAGGTGCAATCAAAATAATAACCACATCAAATATGTAGTGGGAAAGACATAAATTTTAGCATTGTGCCACAATTAATAAAATAACTAATATAATAAAGTGATCACTTTTTGTTGTTCTTGTAAAAACAAATGAATTGATGGGAGAATTAAATGTCCACCTGGCTGGCCGTAGCTTGAGTTATCAAAGTATTTGACTTTAATCACAGCTGAACCTTTTGTCAGATTGCAGAATATATATACACTTTACTGAAAAGTATAAGATGACTTTTGGATGACAAGTGGCCTTATATTCTTGTAACTGGGGTTTTCAACTAACACAGTAAGAAGCATTAACAGTTTTCGCTTTCTTAACTTGTATTTATTAAAAAAATAAAAACTTGAAGGCGGGAAATAATCAAATATCGACGAATTTATGTTTAAATATTATAAAAATACAAATTTAATTCGAACATATTATGAGCTATATCTTTGAAAGCCACTAAAATGGCACTTATTTTATTCTGTACCTGAATCTAGCAGGCAGAAGGAGGAGGATCGACGAGTCGATCTAACCTTATCCGCCTGTCCATATGAACACCCAGAACTCAGAGACTATTAGAGATTTAAATACCAAATTTCCTAATTGTACTCAGTTGGACAGAATAATAGGTGTAAGCATATTAAAAAAAAAATAACAGCTTGGCTTTCATATATTTAAATTTTTCTCAAAGAATAAGTTAGTTTTTAACATAAGCATTAAAGTCAAAACAAATAATAACAGGCTTTAAAAACTATATAATGGTCGAACAAATTTGTTCGACTGTTCATGATAGGTATGCACAAGAAAATTAGTAATAAATATTGCAATTTTGTTATTTATGGTCCCGCATGTTACTGAACTGATTTGAGGGCACTTAATACCCTGGATATCTGCCATTATTCCTGACGACTTTTTCGATTGCTGCAGACATAAAGGATACCAACTTCTGACTATTCTCTACAGGAATGTTGTGCCAAGTCTGTTGAATATTTTCCGTCGTTTTCAATTTTAATTTGGTTAGTTTCGAAGAAATTAATGTAATTATACTAGACATAGCTAAAGAGCTGCTGTATTCCACTTGTTTCTTTACATTTGGGGCCCAACAAGCCAAATCCAAATGAACTGTCAACGGTCGTTAAAAATGCAACCGCGTAAACATTTAAAGGCCATTAAAAGTGCGCCTGAGTGAATTTTTATGAACTTGGCCCGTTCGTAGTGCCGCCCACCTGTGAGTGGGCTACCTACTATATGTACCTATACAGATACATATATACTGGCTCCTTGCTTGCCTGCGTGCTGAACTGGCTTGCAATGCAGGCCCTACTGGCACTTCCCTTGGCATCCTTCCACTTCCCGCTGTCGCCTTTGCCGCAATGTTTCGCATAAAATTTTATGTGTTTTCTATTTAACACACTCTGTGGCCCATCGAGCGCCTCTTTGTTGTTGCTGTGTTTGTTGCGCTAGGCTGTTGCATCTAGAATGTCTTTTCATTTCATTTAGCCACGCGCTTTGCGCCCTCTTTTTAAATTCAATAGAAAGAGCTGCCATAAAAAATTGTTGCTGTTTTGGTTCAACCTGCTTGTTTTTGTTGTATTTTATGTTGTGTTTTTGTTGTTATTGTTGTTGCTCTGTGGGCACTTTTTTATCGCTTTAAAACTCACTGCTGAAAACTAGTTAACAATTTTTTTACGACCTCAAGAATGCGGCAACTGTACGAAGCAAGTGGCATGCATCTCCAACTCGTACTCGTACCCTCGGCCATGTTGGAATACGATTCCTGACCATTTATATCATTTTATTGGTCTTAACTTTATCATGTGTTGCTGCCGTCATTTACTGCCCACAAACCTAGATTGAAATTTCAATTTCGTTTCGCATTTTTCGTCCTACTTGTATTTCCTTCAGAAAATTGGCCTTCAGAAAATTTGTTTCTTTTAATTCGAACACAAACTTGCTATGTTACTACATATATACTTGATACTTCCTAGTAGATTGCGAAATTGATAGGTTCTGTAAGACAGGACTCCGCTCGATTCGAATCTTTGCCAAACTATAATTTCCGTGTTCATAGTTTTTGGCAATTTTCCACTTGAATTCGCAGGGACTGTTTTCATTTTTGTCCATTTACGCTCATTGCAGTTTTCATTAATTTGTGGTAATTTTCGCCTGCTGTTTGTGTAATTGTTTTTGTTTTTGTTTCTGTTTTTCCAGCAGCTGTGGCAAGCAAAAGAAACTGCGTTGCAAGAAGAGAGCGAGCTGCGAGCAAACTATAGTAATTGGTTCAGAGTCAGGGCAGAAACTTGGCTAATTGTGGGCGGGCGTGTGCAGAGAGCAGAGAGCAGAGGCCAACTATGGGAAACTGCGATGGCATAGACAAACGCATTTTCCACAACAATTTTCTTCCCCATTTCTATAGCATGTGTAGAACCCGTTTTCAGCTGCATTCGCTTTTGCCTTGCAACTGTATTTTTTGTAACTGTTTCTTTTTTGTTTGTGTGGTCTTTTTTATCGACACGAAGTAACTGAAAACCAAAGTCAAGTTCAATGCACATAAAAGGCTGTTAAGAGCGCCCCCATCCCAGTCAGTTATAGTAAGTGTAGTTGCTGGTTGCTGGCTAGTAGCGAGGAAATGCATGACACTAAAAACAAGTCGAAAATTGTTGCACAAAGAAAATGTAAAAATGCCGCAAAGTTTTCGTCCATTTAAATTGCAAATTTCCAGTTTCGATTGCAGTTGGAAAATGTTGGTCTTTTTTTCGTTTTCATTGCTTGTTCGGCTTAACACCAAAGAGAGCTTTGGCTATGGTTCGCCTGTGGTTAGATAACCGTGAACATTTTTATGCAGCGAGGTCATAAAAGCGGCCAACACTCAGAAAGCTTTCCACACATGCTGCGCCAATAGTTGGCGAAAACTTGCGTAACTTTTCAGCGGTTGTTGTTGCTATTATGCCAAGGAAATGAAACGAAATGAAATGAAATGGAAAGCATTTGCTTTATGATTTTATGGCATGTAATTAAATGCAAGTGGCAAACTTTATGTTCAAACATTCGCGTACATTCGTACACACGAGTATACTTGTAAAGACAAGTTTTTCCAACTCCCATGCGGAGTTCAAGGGGAAGTGGGTGGGTTCGTGGGTGGCTTGGCAACTGAAGCATTGCAAGCGAACTTCCTACTGCATGCGGCATTGCCTTTTGCAAATGAAAATAAATTATGCATCAATGCGAAAATAAGGAGCCACCAAGCATCTTCCTGTCGAACAGTCAGTTCGTTAGTTCGTCAGTCCGTCAGTCCGTCTGCCAGACAGATAGGCAATCGGACACAGTTGAGGGGCCAGTGAAACGAATTAATAAATGCGCGTCAGTCGAAACAAAAGGAAAATCTGCCATCAGCGGCAATTTTCATCCAGCGATAATGCAAGCGTAATATGAAAATGGAAAATGCAGCGCAGATTTCGTCGTCGTTGTTGTTGTTGTTGTTGCTGTTGCTGTCGTTTCACGCCTTGCAGTCTGAAACGCAGTCTGAAACGCAGTCGCAAACGCAGTTGGTTGCTATTTATATTATAATTTTTGATGACCCTCTTTGCACTTACCAGCCAGGTGAGGCCAAGGCGGGCGACAACAGCCACAGCAATCCGTCCAGCAGTCGCCATTTCTTCGCATGCGTTTCGGGCCTGATTTTTGCCGCTTGGCCAACAATCGAAGTTTAAAATGCGGCAAATGGATCGTTGCTGACTTTAAAGGCGCAGCTTAATTCTCACTTCAGTTAATTTTTGTCTTAATGGATTTAAGTAAAGAAAGAAGTGTTCTTTACGGCCCTTTTTCTTTGTAAATTTTTTTTATTTTATTAACCTTTCTTTAGAGGCCTTGCGACCATTCCAAGTTTATAATTTCTTCAACTTAATTTGTTGGGTTGCTTGCTAAATTTTTATTCTATTTGATGTTTTTAGTATTTAGTTTTATTCAATTAATTTAAGGCTTTTTTATTCTCTTGCACACAATGCATTTTCTTAAAAAAAACTTAAATGCAGTCTTGAAATTTCTTATTCTGATATCCTTTTGTCCATTTGCAATGCACACTTTACTTATGCCGCTGGCTTTGTTTAAACTTTAAGCGCCGCTGTGCCTGTTTTTAATTCATTTAATGTGACTTTTCATTTGAGTTTTTAAGTTTTCCTTTATTGACTTTGCACTGCTTTTAAATAATGCTGGAAAACCGCACGCTTGCGCGCTGCTCTTGCAACTGTGCCTTGAATTTTCGCGCCACTTGAGTTTTGTGTATGTTTCGGCTCGCTATTTTCACAAGTTTTTCCAGAGCCAGAGCCAAAGCCAGCGCCATCGCCAGCGCCAGCGTTGGCTAAAAGATGCAGCCAGTTTTTCCCAAGTAGTCGTCGTTGTTGGTTGCTGTTTGTTGTTGTTGAATTTTTTATTTTTATTGGCTGCACTTTACTCTGATGGCCGCTGTTTATTTTGGCCGCGCCTCTGCCGTTGATTTGGCCATGGCTTTGGCCAGACATTTTTTGACCATAAACTCGGCGTGGTTAGCTGCTGTTGTTGACCAAAAATATTTGCGCGTGCCAAAGCCAAAGCTAAGACGTTGCAGTCTTAGTTGTTACTCTGTTGTATAATTAATTTGTTAATGGCAAGTGGAGTGCGTTTTCCTTTGCTGCACGCATTTCCTGTGACACCCTATGTTCGTACAGCCGGAGATTACGAGATTTATAGGAAGAATTCAGCTGGGAGCCGCAGCCAATTGCCAGCCAATTGCAATTGAAACAATCGACAGGCAACTTTGGCGGCAGCTGTGGCTGCAATGTGAAAGTTCAACGCTGCTTATGCAACAGGCTGCTGCTGAGAGGAGAGGGGATGGCACGGGCTGGTGGCGCCACAATGCGCTCGCCTGCTCCCCAGCCTCGGCTTGTGCCGTCACGCACGCGCCTCTGCTGATGAAGTAGCTGACAAATTATTTTTTATTACAGGCTCTGAGCTTGACTTATCGCCGGAGCGCATCTCTCGCGAGTCGAGATGTGTCGGCATCGATTAGTGCAGATTTTGGCGCCGAAATAAGTTTCGCAGCTGGGCTTGAGTTAGGAGGTTGAGGTTGCTGATTTGTCACGCCGCGACCACAGCACTACTACTAGTAGAGATATGCAGGCTGGCAGGCAGGCAGGCAGGAAAGCCGTCGTTTGATGCTGGGATTAAGTTATTACTGAGGCAATTGGAACTGTCGGCTCAGTGACGGTGTTGGCTGTGATTTCGCGAGGGTACACTTTATATACTAATCAGAATTAGCACTTTGTGGAAAATTAACGGATCACATATCAATATAAATGAAGCTTATTTGCTTGGGGCCCGGATGTAAAAAACTATACCAGTGAATAAAGTTTTTAAATAAATTCCTGGAACTATAGCCAGAAAGACATTTAATCAGCTAACTACCAGCGCCTTTTGTTATTTGTAACCTGTTGTATATCCTTATCTTAAATTAAAGTACATTTAGTAGGAACTTCAAAAGCGGCAGTAAATTCCCATTTAAAGGGATAATAAACAGAAAAACTGTAATATAAAGTGCTAAAGTATAATCAGTGCAGATTCAATTCAACAAATTCAATTGAACAATTGCTGTAAGTCGAGAGTAAAACTAACAAATATTTTTCTATTGAAAATTGCAATAATATATTAGTATAGTTCACATATTCAGGGTTTACGGTAATTTTAGACCACGTTCCTAAAATTTAACAAGAGAGAACGCTACAGTCGAGCAAGCCCGACAGTGTAATACCCTGTACCCAGGTAAACTTCCGTCACTGAGTTATATGCGCCCATAGCAGCAGCAAAAAGAGGAAGAAGAAGAGTGAACTTGTTGCTGCAGTTTGTGGGGGTTGTACTGGCGAGAATTTGTTTCGCTAATAACTTTTCTTAGAATTGACCGAATTGAATAAAATTTTAAACAACAGTAGATAAATATTTATAAATTATGTGTGCAGAGTTTGGTTTAGGTAGCATTTGAAATGTGGACGCTATTGACGAAATTCTGTAGCGGGGGAAGGGGGGAAAATTTCAAAAAATAAAATAAACTCGTCCTTACTCGGACCTAGGAGAATCTGGATGCCAACTTTGGTTATTCTAGCTTTTATAGTTTCTGAGATCCTCGCGTTCATCCAGACGGACGGACAGACGGACGGACATGTCTAGATCGATTTCTCTCGTCATGCTGATCAAGAATATATATACTTTATGGGGTCGGAGATGCTTCCTTCTGTATGTTACATACTTTGCACAAACCTAATATACCCTTTTTACCCTACGGGTACAGGGTATAAAAATGGTATATTAGTATAAGGTCTGTGTAGAGCAGCATCTTCGACCCCATAAAATGTTTTATATTCTAATTATATGTATATACTCTGGCAGCAAGGAGAGGCAAACCTTATCCAATTCAAATATTAATCATGAAAAGAGCACTTAACCGCCAAAAATATGGGGATTGCCAATTAGAATCTTACAAAAAAGTACAGTTTCCCAAAAATAATTGAACTCACATATATTTTTTTTAAAATTAAAGAATTGGCTGCATACAAGTAAAATTGGGAAATATTTAAAGTGCGTTTAGTGTGTTTTTTCGTCATTAACATATTTTCTTTTGTCATTAGTTTTTATGGGTTAATGTCCCCTTCTAAGCTGCAACCGCAACTCTGTGAGGCTCGCAGAAAAGCTTCCCAAAACACAAATCCCAACCACATAATTGCTATAATCGTGGCAGATTTACAATCTCGTAATAAATTCAACACACAGAGATGCGCATTGCATATACTCGTATACTCGTAAAGCCAAGAAGGCAGCTATTCAGCGCAACTCCCCCCATAACTCCCCTTATCTTAATGTTTCTCGGCGTAGGCAATTGCAGCTGCTATAGGCGGAAATCTCGCACAGAAAGTTGCATGCGGATGCAGTCGTCGTGTCGTCGCGTCGTCTCTGCTGCCTCAGTTGCTGATAGTAGTGGTAGTAGTAGTAGTAGTTGTTGTTGTTGTTGACGCTGTCGTTGGCGTTGTCGGAGGCGGCAGTGGTGATGGCAAACATTGGTGCGGAAGTTTAACCAACTAACAAAGTGACTTGGACTGGGGCCAAATACTTCCCCACTTACACACGACCGGGTTGACATTTGTGGCCAAATGTGTTGTTAACGGTTTAGTTAAGTGAGTGTGATTTAATTGTGGGCCTGGTCCGATCAAGTGATGGATGTGGATGGACGACTAGCAAGCCAGTTTGACAATAGTCGCTCTGCTTCACTTAATTGCCAGCTAAATAGTGTCTGTGTTGTCGGACACTTGGTCATTTGGTTTTTGAGACAAAAAGTACATACATACATATGTACGAGTATTTGTATGGTAAAGCGGTATGTTGTCGCTTATAAGCTCGAGGAAATGCCACGCACTTGCTTAGCTTGCTTTAGTTTGTTTGGCTTAGTTCAGCAGCCCGATACGATCGATTTTTGAAAATTTTAATTGAGCTGTAAACGCTTCCTTCATCCGGTTCAACTGGCAGCAGTGCCCTGACCATTGGCCATGGCCAACCGCCTTAATTGTCTGCCACTTCCCGTTTTGTGGGCGAGCCCCGCAATCTAATTACGCTCTGACATCCTCGCAGCCGAAAACCAACGAGCACAGCAAATTGACAACACAATAAACGTGGCCAACATCATAGTGGGTGGCTGGCCCTCTCTCTCTCTCTCTCTCTCTCTCTCTCTCTCTGTCTCTCTCTCTCTGTCTCGTTGAATGTGTCACACATGTGCGACAGTTTCTGATTTATGAACACAATTTCCAGTTTGACAATGAGCTCAGCACAACCCTCGCGACCCCACCACCCTGGACAGCACGGCCACCCAGGTCAGTCTGGTTGTGCTGGCAAGGCCAGGAAGCAGCCAGCGGTGCTCCTATCTGTACAACAATGCAGCTGCTTCGGCTGCCGTTGGTTTATGGGCACAGTTCGGGGCTACCGGACCACTGTAAGTTATGTTAATTGAGATTTTGCAGCAGATATAATAAGAAGTGTGGCCGATCTAAACACATTTGGGCCATGCACTGGCACCTGGGTCTAGGTCTAGGCAATTGCTTCTGCTGCTCACTTTAAGTTGGCCGACCATATTTCAGACTAATCTGCCAACGACTGTCACTTGAGTCACATAAAAATCTCAGCCCAAACAAGCAGGCAGCCAGATACTTAGGAGGGTGCACACAAGTAGCCACGATGCAAAATTCCATGGGCGTTTATTGGCGGCTGCGCTCCAACGCAATAAATTCTCGAAATAAATTGAGTGCATTCTCAAAGACTACTTGTAGAGGCGGTCGCGTGACCAATTTGCTCAAGAGGAGCTCATCATCTTCGAACAAGATCAACCGAATTATCGTTCACTATGCGAACAAACTATCTTAAATTTATTTATAATGAACCAAATATAAAAAACGTCGATTGGCGTCTAGATCGATGCAGCTGTTTATTATGATTGCAAAGCTGATCTGTAATTTTGAAAATCATGAAAACTATGCGCTCATTTTTAATATGTTTTAAGATACATTTTTTAAGTTGTTCTAAAAATAATAAGTATTTTTTCATTTATTTACAAAAAAAATGGCCCATGAATCTGTGTGTTTCT